AAAGTGAACCTTGACAAGCAAAGTCAAAGAGAGCCCACAGTTCCTTGAGATTGTTTTGGACTGGCGTCCCCGTGAGAAGGATGCGGTTTCTGGAAGGAATGGCATAAACAGATTTTGTCGTTTTGGCAGATGAGGTTTTAATTTTATGCGCTTCATCAAGAATGACATAGTCCCAAACAAACTCTTTCCCACTAAAGCTAGAAAGCTGCTTCCAGCTGTTGAGGAGTATCTTGTAGGTTGTGAGCAAGGTGCCCTTTCTCCTCTGGATTTGCTCCAGATGTTTTTCACGTTCAGCTTTGCTGGTCCCGTGAAAGACTTTCACTCGCAGGCCTGGAGTCCACTTCGCAAACTCTTTCATCCAGTTATTCAGAAGGCTGGTTGGGACAATGAGCAACACGGAACGGATGAGTTCTGCATCAAACATACCTGAGAGGAACGCAATGATCTGAATAGTCTTCCCAAGTCCCATGTCATCTGCCAAGATGCCACCCTTCCTTCTGTCTTGATATAACTTGTACAAGAAAGCAACCCCTTCTCTCTGATGATGAAAAAGCTTGTCGTGCATTTCTCCATACAGCATCAGTCCACTCTGACACACATCCACAAAGCTATCGTCATTCTGGTCCACAGCCAGAGCAGCCAGGGCTTCCTCTAACTTTTTAATATTCGCTGTCAGCTTTTCACTGAAATGGATTTCAAGAGCCTGTTGGAACAATTGGATAGATTCTTCTAAATTCCCACTTCTGGCCTCCTGTTTTGCTTGGGATACATATCTGTAAAATCAAAAGGCAGTTCTGAAGTCAGAAACAAAAACAGCTCAAGGTCAGAGAGACTTTGAACTTAGGAAATAATTATTTTAGTGCTTTCAGCCTGCACAACATAAATGCCTCTGGTACCCACTCTCATATTTATTGGGTGGTGGTGGTGGTAGCGCCTCCTTCTGGACTAGCATTAAAGCCATGGGAGGTCTGCAAATCTGAAAAATCCACATTTTCCTAGGTAGTATTATCACCCTCCTCCTTCTTCCTCCTGAACAGTAGAGTTCCACTATCAGAGAAGAGTTGGTGGTAAACTATTACACAGTCTCAAGAAGACAGCTTGGCAAAGTTATTCTCCACCATCAGGGAAAGCTTTCTCTTGCTGCTTTAAAAGTGACTACCTCAAAATCCCAGCTAACTTCAGGATGCCCTAGAGCAGCGTTTCTCAAGCTTGACAACTTTAAGATGTATGGACTTCCACTCCCAGAGTTCCCCAACCAGCATCCCCAACTCTGGGAGCGGAAGTCCATACATCTTAAAGTTGCCAAGGTTGAAAAACACTGCCCTAGAGGGCCTATCAAATCCCAGACAGAGGCTCATTATATTTTGTACTAATAATAACTATTTTATTTATTTCTTTTGAGTCATTGTTGACTCTTGGCAACTGGCTGGACTAATCCCTGCAGTTTTCTTGGCGAGGTTTTTCTGAAGTGGTTTGCCATTGCCTCCTTCCTAGGGCTGTGAGGCTGACTGGCTCAAGGTCACCCGGAGGGCTTCGTGCCTAAGGCGGGACTAGAACTAATGATCTCCTGGTTTTTAGCCTGGTGCCTTCACCACCACACCAAACTAGCTCTCAGTAACTAATAACAGTGACTAATTGGGACTTTGTAAAAAGCGATTCCCTGCCCTCCTACTGTTAACAAGGGCATCATAGCTCAACTCTTGTGCTTACAAACAACTACTGTACTATACAAGCTTGCTGAAAGTCTGCTCAGAACCGCCTGTGTCACATTTTAGGCTGCTGGCAATGCAGTTTTTATAGCTATTAAGCTTCTGCCTACCTTCTTCTCTCTCTTCTTCCTTTGTGGCTTAATATCCAGCTTAAAGAAGAGATCTACAGAATCAGAGCCTGATACACTATTTTATGAGTATATTTTTTTACTGATTTGGATCAGTTCTAACCTTACTGTACTGATTTTCCTTCTTGGTGGACCAGTAATATCTATTATGTTTTGTGTATCAGCTGTCTCCAAACAAATATCTTCCAGGCGTGAGGAGCCCAACTTCTAGGACTTCATGGGTGTTGATGTCCAGCATTCCTGGAGGATGCTAGATTAGAGAAGGACCAACGCACAACTGTACATGCTTTTACTCTCTAAGTCCCACTGCTTTCAGCGAGGCTTATTTCCAAGGAATTTAGGATACAGTTCCAACCTTAATCTCCCTCACTCCAGACGTGTTTTAAGCAACAGATGCAGCCAAGGTTCTTCATTGACATTATTAACAAACAGGACTTTAACTGTCTGAAACTTTATCCATACAGTGGCTGGGTTCACATATTGTTCTAAGCTGTGCTTTGTTTAGCCATGGTTTACAGAATAAGTCACAGTTGGCTGAGCTCACCATACACTAAGGCAGTTTGGTGTAGTGGTTAAGGCACTGGCTAGAAACCAGGAGACTGTGAGTTCTAGGCCTCCTTTAGGTATAAAAGCTGGCTGAGTGACTTTGGACCAGTCACTCTCTCTAAGGCAAACCCACCTCACAGGGCTGTTGTTGTGGGGAAAATAGGAAGGAGTATTAGGTATGCTCACCGCCTTGAGATAGATAGATAGATAGATAGATAGATAGATAGATAGATAGATAGATAGATAGATAGATAGATA